TTTTTTAAGCCAAGCTGTCAAACCCATTCAAATGATCATCTCAATCAAAACATGCAAGTTGGAATTTTGAAGAAAGTTTTAGTTTTTGCCACTCACAAGTTTAAGCTCAACTCAAATTGGTGTGATCTCCTCAAAGTTACCTTCTTTTCCCCCTATTGAACCAAAATCAAGGAAATTAGCTTAGGAATCTCAAATTTGGAGAAATGTAACGAAAATTAGAGAGAAGACTACATGCATGTTACCCATGGATGAAAATTTAACTGGAACTAATGTTTTTTAACTCTCTTAATCGGCACACACCCACTCTCTCTATTCACTTTTTTTCCTTCTCACCTTTCTTCTTCTTTCTTTCTCTTCGACCAAACCCTTTTTTTTTTCTTTTCTCTTCTCTTCTGCTTCTCTCTCTTCTTTTCTTTCTTCCTTGTTCTCTCACAGCCTCCTTCTTCTTTCATCCGGGCGAAAATCAACCCCTGTTTTTTTTATATATTTTTAATCTTTCTAGAATTATGCTTTTGCCCCTAGATTACAGATAATCCCGTTAAACCCCTGCCACATCAGCTTTTGCTTCAAAAACCTCCAGATTTTGCCCCTTGATACATGCAAACCCAGCAGCTTCCTTTTCTTGCAGTTTCACTCCCAATAAAACTTTTAAAAACTAACAGAAATCCCTTTCTATAAAAATAAAATCACAAAGAATATGTAATATATATTAGGATTTAAAAAAGGGGATTTCATAAGGTGCCAGCGAAGTCCCCCCTTGTCGACACGCTTTTTGGGCTTGGGTAGAAGCTTTTTAAGCAACTGGCTTACGTAGAATCTAGTCAGCTAGCTTTTCAGGCTTTGGGTAGAAGCTTTCTGGGCTTGGGTAGAGAGCTTGAGTTCTACCCAAGCCCATTTATCAAGTTATAATGATGTAAGACAGATTTTTCAAATTAAATTGTTTGTACATCAAATATTACTACAAAAATAAAACTAGGAATGCCGAAATTACTGATATCCTATCTATATATCTTAAAAAAAATTTAGTAACACAACTATTTCAAAATCATAGAAGGTCTCCCATGGTTATGAGATATCTGATACTGTTCGATCATGCCAAAATGAACCATAAGACGTCATATATGAGAAAGGAGCTCTCCCCCTCGTCTTAAGTGATGAGCAGGGGTGGAGGGAGGGGAGGTCAAGGAGGGTCAATTGACTTTTAAAAATTTTTGCTATGATTTTACAAATTTAGCCCTATATAAAATTAAAATACCAAAAAGCTGTATTATATATTTATACCCAATAAATTCCACTTTTTTGTTTTGGGGGCTGTGAAACTAAAAGTAAACCCTTTATTCTCCTGCTAAAAGTAAACCCATCATTCTCCTTCCCTCAGACGTTTTCTTCCTCTTCAATAACCTATAAAGCCAATTCTTTTCCTTTAAGGTTTTATCCATATAAGTGTAATTTTCTCCTCCTATCAAGCCAACAAGTCCCTTTTTTCTTCAATTTTTTAGGTAATACATTTTATGTTTGTATTATTTTATTTTAAAAGTTTAAGATTAAATTATAGATTAGGATTTAGGAAGATGAAATTGTCATTCGGACCACAAATTGCATCTATTTTTTATTTATTTGTAATAATATATTGAAGTTAGAAGAAGTAAGAAGATAGTTTTTAAACTTATTTTGGAGTTGGCCTTGGGACCACATTGTTTTACCCATTCCATATTGGCCTTTTTTTGTTTTTTATATAGAGAAGATGAGTTCTTGGGACTACATTGTTTTACCAATTTTTATCTTTGTTATATAAAAGTGTTTGATTCAAATGAATTTTGGAGTTGGCTTTGGGACCACATTGTTTTACCATTATAGCCGAATTTGTTTTTTTTTTTTTTTTATATAGAGAAGATGAGTTCTTGGGACCATATTATTTTACCAATTTTTATCTTTGTTATATAAAAGTGTTTTATTCAAATGGATTTTGGAGTTGGCCAATGGCAATTTTTGTGTTGTTTTTTTTATGGAGAAGATGGGTTCTTCATTCTTGGGACCACATTATTTTACCCATTTTTATATTTGTTATAAAAAGTGTTTGATTCAAATGGGAGTTAATTTTAATTATTTTACAAGTGTTATGAAAAAGTGGATTTAATTGTACAAGTATTTGGTTATTTGAATAGATTTTTTACACATATCAATTGTATATAATGTAAGATATATTTAAAAAAAATATTGCATTAAGATCTATTTCAATTCAATTTCTATTACTTTAATTTAATTTTTGTTAAAGTACTTACAAATTAGAAAAAGAAAGAGATATACTTGTGAGTTGTGATGTGTATGTATTGTTAGAATACTTTAACTTATTAGCTTTATAAATTTTTGTAGAAGTTGTAATTTCACTTATCTTAATAATTATTATTGTATATATAGATTATTGTTATTGTTTGGTTTTACTGAGTACATAGCTTATTTTGCTGCATTTTTCTCTATCAAGTAATAATATATTATTATTTTGAAATAGTAGGGAAAGATATTTCAAAAGAAAGTCAACAATGATCTCATCATTTGAACAAGAGGAAAATATTGGTGATTCAAGTAAAAATGTAGATGTTGATTTGCGAGATCTTCCTACGGATCCAAGCTTAAGACCCCGATTTTCAGTTTATGATCCTAATATTCAAGATTAAATTTGAAGAATATATTTGGAAAGGGGTCCTTGTCAACCTAAGGGCCATGAGTTTCCTTCTAGGTATTTTGGTGGATTTTCAAGATGTTTTGTTGTTTATTGGTTTAGTGAATTTGAACAATGGTTGGAATATAGTATAGCCAAAGATGTTGCGTTTTGTCTTTATTGCATCTTTTTAAGTTAGATGGTGTAAAAGGGGGGTCGCTTTGTTGGTTAATGGTTTTCAAATTGGAAAAGAAAAAAAAATTGAATATTCATGTTGGAGGTTCTAATAGTGCTCATAACCAAGCTCGAAGAATGTGTGAAACATTATTGAATCAAGACCAACATATTCAGACATTTTTTTATCGACATTCTTCTCAAGCACGAATAGAGTATCAAACTCGCATTACAAGAAATTTAACATTTAGGAACGAAATATTTAGGGACGGATTTAATTCCGTCCCACAATGGTCATTTTAGGGGACGAAATTGTAATTTCGTCACAAAATGATTAGCACTCAATTTTTGCCCCATGCCAACAATGCCATTTGGAGGGAAGGATGAAATAATATGGAGGGAAATCATTCTAGGACGAAATTTATTATTTTTGGATGAAAAGTTTTGTAGCTAAAAACCTTCTTTTTCTGGGACGAAATTTTTTGTCTCTAATTGTGCAAAATTTGGAAAACTTATTAGGGATGAAATATGATTTTGTTCTTGATTGTAAAAATACATTTTTAGGGACGAAATGTATTATTTTTGGACGAAAAATTTTGTAGCTAAAAGCCTTTTTCTTCTGGGACGAATATTTTTGTCTCCAATTGTACAAAATTTGGAAAACTTATTAATGACGAAATATAATTTTGTCCTAAATTGTGAAAAATACATTTTTAGGGATGAAATTTAGAACTACAACAAATGTTTAATTTAGGGATGAATTCAGTTTCATCCCCTCCAACAATGCCATTTGGATGGAATGATGAAATAATATAGAGGAAAATCAATCTAGGACGAATTTATTATTTTTGAACGCAAAATTTTGCAGTTAAAAACCCGTTTTTTCTGGGATGAAATTTTTTGTCTCTAATTATATAAAATTTGGAAATCTAATTAGAGAGCAAATATTATTAGTTCTAGGTAAATGTAAAAACACCCACTTCTTTTTTTATTTCATTTGAAACAAAACCCAGGCTTGCTTGCTAGTGAATCTCGAACTCTTACTCTGAAATTGATTGAAACCCAAGATAAAAAATTTAAAATTAAGTGCAGGTGGCGAATGAGGATTCGTTTAAAATGGTAGGAAGGTGTGGCAGGTACCTTTGAGGATCATGACATGCTCTAGCGGGCCGTCGTTTTGCCCTTTCTCTTCATTTTGCTCTTTGCTTCACCCATTACAAAAAAATTGACTTATAGTAATACTGGATAGTAGTACTTTTTGAAAATATGTTACTAATATGTATCTATGGTAGCACTTTTTTGTGAAAATGTTATGAATATAATTTTGGTAAGTAAAACTTCATATTTTTATAACTGATTATCTATCAATTGTTGGATATGGTTTGTATTTTGCATAAGCTGGAAGTCCCCTATGCAGACGCATTCGGGGGTCTTGCTCCTCGGTAAGTGGGCAACGGTCTCGTTTGCCGGTGAGCGAGCGGGGGTGAGGGGGCAACATCTCCTCCATGGTAAGTTCAATTAGTAATTGGATTTATTATTAATTTACTAATTGGGCTTGGGTTGGGTTAGATTCAGGGAAAGTCAAATGGGATAGGGTTTTCTATTAGATATATAATATAATAATGAAAAACCTAAGGTAATAAAAAAAAACAAATTGAGAGAGTGAGCTGCTTTGCAGTATAATTAAAATACATAGCACTTTAGAAATGTTACCATATACCTGATTATTAACCGAGAAACAAGCACCCTTTGCGCCCACCCAAAATTTCCCAAAAGTTTCATCCCAAAAACCTAATAATTATTAGAACAATGCTAATTTTATAAAGACACATATAAAAGAGACGTATAAAAATAATCCTTATTCTTAATTTTTATGATTTTTTTCTCTCTTTCTCTTTTTTTATTTTTTATTTTTTCTTTGAGATGTTGTCATTTGTAGTGGCATTTTTCTACCCATTAACCCAAAATTTTCGTCCCCAGAAACCTAATATCCATTAACCTAAAATTTTTGTCCCAAAATGTCATTTTTTTCAAATCTTCTTCTCTCAATTAAGATTTTCGCAATCTTCACTCAAATTTCCTCCAAAACCGATGGCTAGATCCCTCTTTCTCTCTCTAATCAAATCCATCTCCACCGTCCATCTCTACCCCAGCCATGTCACCTCCTTCCCCTCAGCCCATCGTCCCGCCTCGTATCTCTCCGCACTCAATCCAACCAAACCGACCTCTCCGACCTTTCCACTTCTTCCGACTCCACCATCGACCCTTTGCACTCGACTTCATTATCGATGCAATGTTTTGTTTTATTTAGTTGTTTGCTTATTCATTTGCTCAAGTTCTTTAGAATTTTGATGTGTTATATTTTGTATTTTTTAATGTTTCAAATGGGTTAACTGTTTTGGGTGCTTGTATTGTTGGTTGCGCCACTTGGAATTGGTGCCCAGATGGATTTCATATCACCTACTGTAAGTACTCGCTACTCCGTGTTTATCCACTGGCTTGTAATTATATAATCATCTTCGATTCCTAAAATTACTTGGGGCTTTGTGACTTTTATTATGTTATAATTTGTAAATAGGATAGTATGATGTTGAATAAACATTTAGATAGTGTATCTGGCTTGAAATACAGATTTTTAAATGTTGTGTGCTGTGTCATGAGTATTTTGAAACTTAGAGTAGGCATTGTCGCGTGAAATGATAAAAGTTTCAAAGTGATAAACTTAAGATTATAGGTTCAAATTGTAAGTATATATGAAATGTTTGGACAACCCTCATTCGACTTGACTTTTGATGGTGCGTATTTTTGTCTTTTTTCTAATTAAATTAGGTTTAGTGTGTTATTTGACATTTATGTGAACTTGAGCTGCTATCAGAAACTTTAATGTTTTGTTTTCTTGTAAGTGATGTAGTTTCTTCTTTGGTGCCTGGAAAGTTTGGTATGTGGTTGTTGAATGAAATATACTTATTCATTTAATTGGTAAACATTATTCTTGAGTACATGCATGCTCTTATGTGTCAGCATCTTTCTTCAAGTTAACTTATCATAACTTACAGCATTATATTTTATTGACATTGTTGAAGGTTGAATTTGCATTCTGACTCAAATCATTTAATTATAAATTTGAGGTGTCTCCGTAGAGCCACAACCTCAACTGTGTAGATTGTAAATGTTTGAAACTCGATTTTTATCATATGAAGATTAATTAGTGCTTTGCTAAAATGAGTTGATTGAGAAAGTTCTGCTGGTACGTAAAAGATGATGAGTATCTCATTGATCTCTGAAGAGACATGGGAAAAAATGACTTCAGTATAGACCATCAAATTTTCATTTCTTTTGTTTACTGTCTTTTATCTATTTCAACCTTGGCAAGACCCATGACGTCCATTGTTGTTTGCAATCATGTTGAATAATTGATTACTAAGAGGGAAAAGTATTCTTTCTTGACTTATTAGATGCATCCATTGTAGTTGAGCTAATATTATGGTGTCTACCAGAATTGATTCCCTCTAATTTTTATTTATTATTAAATCACATTTTCTTTCTTTTCCTTTCTTAATCAGTTGTTGCATTTGCCTTTTCTATTTTATGCCAGGTGACATGGGTACTCTTTGTTACTGGGTTCAGGTCACACAATCAGGGTTCTTCCCTAAAGCCTCATGTCATAGGAAACCTTTTACATGACTGGTATTGGATAAATAACATAATACACATATATTCTAAAGCATATAAATGTTTCTCTGAATCATATATCCTATCTGGTTTTTGAGACAACTACTGCCCTTATAATTTAATCATTTTCAAAGATCCCTTTATAAATTTAAAAATAAATAAATAAATTATCAATTCATGTAACTGAAAATGGAAAAGTTAGTGTCCGTCAAATACTTTCTTTCTGTCTGTTTGGTCATTTTTAACAGTCTGTATTTAAATTCCTGATATTTTTACCTTGTATATAATTCTTTAGGTGGTTGGAATACAGCTGAATCCTCAGTTTATGGGCATTGATCTCAAGTATGTAATCCCTCTTCAACTTTCTGGGAAACTTTTCTTGTTCATGTGCTTGACAATATATTGGAAGCAGTAATGACCATTATTTATTTTGATTTCTGTTGCTGTATATTCTTGAAATTGGCAGGCTTTACTGCAATTAATTATTGCCCTTACAATCAAAGCTCTTCTTCTGTCTTCTTCTGAGTTTTGGTTGTGTTGATCAGTCTGAGTAATGGCATCGTTGACATAAATGTGTCTAATATACACGGTAAGTTTTATATAGAACACTCTGTTAACAGTGGGTAATTGAGCGGACGGTAAAATGGAGGAAAAATTATTGTGAATGATGTTATTTTTCAAAGGCATTCAGAAAGCTGTTTCTGGTTAGATATCTTATAAAGAATTTTTTTTGATAATTATGTCACTTTTTTTGTGCAGATGAGTGTGGCAGGAGCCAGAAAAGCTTGTCAAAGTCAATATGGGTCGTTGAAGGAAGCATTGGATAGCTTAGTAGAGCAACTAACGTCGCAACGACAACAACTTGATGAGGAATAACTAGTAAATCATTCTTTGAAGCTAATCAAGAAAATCTGAATTGTAAATAAAATGTTGTTGAAGACAAAGAGATTGCATTTAGGGCGGATAAACTTGAGCTCGAAGTAGTAGGGATGGAAGCAAACAAGATTGAAGATTTGGGGCTATAGGAAAGAACAAAGATGTTTGCAATTTTGTTTCTTGTTTCACTCTTTTGGGATTGGAATCCTGAAACTTACTTAGAAGATTCTGTGGTAGTGGGTAAGTAGGAATTGTAATGTCTGACAGTTTTTGTTAATAAAGAAGTGCAATTTGATTTGGGAAACTCAGCTTTTGTTGTTTTGTTTGTTTATATAGTGAAGTGAAAATGAATCTGGGTATTATCATGAAGGAAAATTAGTAGGATTGATTCATAAATTGGGATTATGGTTAATCATCATATTATCAACCCAATCAAGCACAAAATTTTTTGTCCCCAATTCAGCACACCATGAGGGATGAAATTCTTTGTCACCAATTCACCACACCATTTCGTCCCCAATTCACCACAACATGGGGACGAAAATTTTTGTCCCCAATTCACCATAATTAAGGACGAAAACTTTTGTCTCTAATGATTGATCCAGTTAGGGACGAAATTTTTTCGTCCTTAATTGTGCTTTTTTTTGGGGACAAACAGTCTCATTTGGAACGAATAATTATTCTTTTGTAGACAAAAAATTTCATCACAAAATAAATAATTTTTAACGACGAAACCGTATTTTGTCCCCAATGGCATGGCTTTGGGGACGAATTGTTTTTCCGTGGGCTCCTTTGGCGACACGGCTTTGGGGACGATTTGGTCTGTCGTCCCACATTACTTTTTAGGACGAATTTTACATTTTATGTGACGAAAATTTCGCCCCTAAATGTTAAATTCCTTGTAGTGTCGTTTAAATGCTACAGTTGATTGTATTCGTTTTCTTCTAAGGCAAGGACTTGCATTTTGTGGTCATGATGAATCCTATGATTCAAGCAACCAAGGGAATTTTCTCGAGCTTCTACAGTTTCTTGCTAATCATAATGAAGATTACAATGCTGTTGCTTTTAAGAATGCTCTTGATAATCTCAAATTGACATAACCTGAGATTCAAAACGACATTGTAAGTGCTACTTCAAATGAAACCGTAAGTATTATCATTAGAGATTTAGGAGATTCATTATTCGCTATAATGATTGATGAATCTCGTGATATCTCTAGGAAGGAACAAATAGCTATTGTCTTATGTTATGTTAACAAGAATGGACTTGTTGTAGAGCTTTTTCTAGGTGTTGAACACATTACTAGTACCACAACTCTCTCACTCAAGGCAACACTAAATAATTTCTTTTCAAGGCATGGGTTGAGTTTTTCTAGACTGCAAAGACAAGGTTATGATGGAGTCGGTAATATGCAAGGAGAATTTAATGGTTTGAAGACATTGGTTTTGAAAGAGAATAGATATGCTTATTATATTCAATGTTTAGTCCATCAACTCCAGTTGACTCTTGTGGCTTTGGCAAAGAACCATGATGATGTTAATGATCTTTTTAATATCGTGGCGATTGTGGTTAATATTGTCGGTGTTTCGTCAAACCGTTGCGATCTTCTTAGAGATAAGCAAGCTTGTAAAGTTATTGAAGCTCTTTCTAATGGTGAACCTTCGAGTGGAAAAGGTCTCAATCAAGAGACTAATCTGCAATGTGTCAGTGATACGCGTTGGGGCTCGCATTATGGTACATTAATGAGCATAATCTTGATGTTTTCATCCATTATCGATGTTCTTGAAATTGTGGCAAAAGATGAGTCAAACTCTGAGCAAAGATTTCATGCAAAAAACATATTTAAATTGATGCAATCATTTGACTTTGTGTTTAGTCTATTTTTTATGAAAGATATACTTGGCTTTACAAATGGACTTTCTCAAGTACTACAAAGAAAAGATCAAAATATTGTAAATATTATGAATTTGGTTGAAGCATGTAAGCAAGCTTTACAATTGATGAGGGATAATGGATGAGAGACTTTATTAAACAAAGTTTATTCTTTTTGTGCCAATCATGACATTGATGTTCCTAATATGGATGACAAGTTTTTTTTTTCAAGGGCAATCACAACGTAAGGCTCAAGGTATCACAAACGTGCATCATTACCGCATTGAATTATTTTATAATGTCCTAGATATGTAGCTTCAAGAGTTGAATAATCGTTTCAATGAGGTAAACATTGAACTGCTTATTTGTTTGGCATGTTTATGTCCAAATGAATCGTTTGTTGCTTTTGATAAACAGAAATTGATACGCCTTGCTGAACTTTATCCTGATGATTTTTCTGACTTAGAACTCATAACACTTGATTCTCAACTTGATGTTTACATTTTGGATATGCATTCTAATGTCAAATTCATGGGATTGAAAGGGATTGGAGATCTGGCAAATATAATGGTTGAAACTAAGAAGGATAGAGTGTTTCCATTAGTTTATTTGTTGATGAAATTAACATTGATTCTACCCGTTGCCATTGCTAGTGTAGAAAGAGTATTTTCAACAATGAATTTTGTGAAGAATCGTTTGCAAAATAGAATGAGTGATCAATGGTTGAAAGATAGCCTAGTTCTGTATATAGAGAAAGATGTAGTTGATAGTATTGATGATGAAGTCATTATACAATACTTTCAAAAGATAAAATTGCGTCGAGAACAATTATAAATGTACTAGTTAATGAGAATTTTATAAATACAAAATTTATGCTTATGTTAATTTAAAATTGTATTGTTCTTTTAACTTTGACCACCCTATACATTATTTCTGGCTACGCCCCTGGTGATGAGCATGTTCACTTCCTCCACCTTGACTTGCCGCATAACTTACCATTTCAACCCAAGCATCTCTAACTATCTTCCATTTATCTGATATTTCTGTCAATTCTGATGCTAGCTTGTGCGCATAATAGAATATGGATTTGATTGCGTCTTCTTTCACTTCGATGTTAAGTTCAAGTAAATCTGTCCAAGCCGGAATTTTTTTACAGTCATTATTGTCGCCATTATCTCCAGTGCTGTGTTCAGTTTCGTTTGATGGGTCGAAACGCTTAATGGAGATACTGTGTTTCTTGAAATATTCCCTGACCTCAGAAAGAGTATCCAGACGCCTGAGTACACCCCCCACTCCAACTGGCAACAGTAAAGGATTCTGAACAAGGAGATGCATCATATATTTGACAACACCATGCCCATTCCAGCAACAATACTGTTATTTTCAGTTTCGAAGACTCCTGAATTTTTGTCCTGATAATAACAAAGTTCTGTTGCAATGTGCCAGATAAGGATACTTTCGTCAAAGTCCATCTCCACACGCCATTTAAGCATACTATGGTTTTCAAGTGCACGGCTTCCCCTTGTCATCCTGAGGTTTCCTCTATTCTCCTTAAATTCATTAACATCCTTCTTGACATGGTTGAAGATCAGCTCTTGCAATTCTCCGGGATGCGTTTTGCTTCCTCTATGTTCGTTAACTCGATCATGCTCCCTCTTCACATGATTGAGTATCAGCTCTTGCAATTTTGTAAGATTCGTGTCGCTTCCTCTATTCTCCTTGAATTTTTCATATTCCAACTTGACATGGTTGAAAATCAGCTCTTGCAATTCTTCGGTCACCTGTGTGTAGGACGTTTTATTTCGGCGATTTTCCAGTAGTTTATCCCTGTACTGGTTCATTTTCAGTAGTAGTTTGTCCCTGTAAGAAAGGCTCAATGCTTTCTCGCTCGATGTCGCTGGTGCTCAGATCTGCAAAGAGACACTTGAATATACGAAATAAAGCATACGCTAATACGATCTTTTGATCAGAGTTGAATTCTTTTCCAGACTCAGGCATGTTTATTTTAAAAGTGGGAGCATCTATCATGAAGTCTCTTTCCACTTTGTATCCCTCGTTTGTATCCCTCGGGAAGATACAACGGGTACTCATCCAAGAATTTGGGGTAATTGGAATCAGCAGCAGTCGAAGAGAGCAGCAATTCTCTAAGTTGATTACTGCTTGCTGACCAGAGAGCCCATGTCCTCTCTCCATACTTGATAAACCCAACAATAATCATTGGTATTGCAAGAACTGAAATCTGCGAGCCATTCCATGCAGTTAGAAAGATCAATACTGTGGTTAGTGTTTGGAAAAGTAATTGAAATGCGTGCCTTAAGTACAACTCGTTGTCTTCTAAAGAGTATGCTGTAATAGTATCAGGGCCACCAAAATGCAACAGAAAAAACGGCGCCCAAAACGCAGCAAT